TAAACAATCTTCATAGCTCTTGCAAGCTTTCTTTTAAAAAAAAATTATGGCTGGTAGTTTTATGGATGGAAGACATAAACATTGAAAAATAAAAAAAATAAAAAATGAATTAGGTAATTGCTATGGTTTGCCTTCATAATAGTGAGTCTGCAAGTACATGTATATATAATAATAAAACAGAAGATAAGGTTTGGGCAAGATTTCAGTGAAATAAGTTCAAGTTTGTCTTTAAGTCATATAATTTATGTTACATTAATTTTGCAAATTCCAATAATTCACTAAGATTCAATAATAATAAAACCTACATTTTACTTAACTGTTTTGCATATTTACTAAAAATGTTCAAGTGGGAAATACATAGGAAAGTTCAGTTGTTCCCTTACATTGTAGATCTTGTTACTATAACATAAAAATGTGCTTTCTTCATTAAGTGGAAATGATATAGGCAGTTGGCTGTTATTTTTTTGCTCAATGAAAGACGTCCCTGTAAAATGCATTTTCTACACCATCTTCTCTCTAAACCTGTTATGTTTCACCTCAACTAATGAGTTGTCAATAAACAAATTACCTCCCTTGATCTCTGCATAGTTTTATGGGATTGTTCAAAGGAATTCTTCTCCACTTGGAACGAGAATAAACAATGGAAGCCAGATATTACATCAAACGCAGCATGAAAAACAATTATGAAAAAATAAATCTCCTATTACCTATCGGTGTGAAGTAAATTTTTAAAAATCCAAAGAGCTTTTTTTGTTGTTGAAGACAGGTTTCCTGGAGTCTATGAAAGAAATTATGATTTTAATGAATGAGTAAATGAGACAAGATTGGAGATTCCTATCAAATGTCGCCCATTTAATATAACCTATAATTTTTGTCTGGTCAAGGATTAGAGATTAGAAATATTATATCAACTGTCTTGTTTGTATTAACTTTCAGACGAGACCTTGCTTTTCTTGTCCCATTTATGTCATTTAAATACTTTCGTAACTCAATTACTTTTCCGTGAAAGTCTTATTAGATATAAAAGATTACATGTATTACTATAATTTCTGGTTTTGGAATGCAAGTAAATTGGTTTGGCTGTTATCAGGTTCGGGAGTTTGTGTTGGAAAGGTTTTTATGAATCATTCATTGACTTTAATGGAGTTAGGAAGTCATCAAATGAATGTCCGCCTTTGTTGTTATCATCATAAATTGAAGTTACACCAGCAATTCGGTCGTAAATTGGGCATCATTTTTAACGAATATTACTGGCAGAAATAATAATTCACATCCTGTAATATTCATAATCTCAGTCAAACAACAGTTAATCAACAATTCTTTCATATATTTGCACTTTCCATAGCATTGTATTATTCAAAATAGCTTGTTAAGTTTGTGTAATTAGGTACAGTTCATTCCAAGGTGCAGCTACAGTGTAGTCTGCCTGTGCCTGACTCTGTACTGCGGCGGGGGTTAATGACTTTTGGCTCAGGAGGCTAAGGGTAAAAACATTTCTGTGTTTGATAGATAATGAAGGTAGAATATAGGTTTGAGTCCAGTAGTTTTTCATTATCTTACCCAAGTGAGCGTGAACCCTTCGGTAAAACTGTACAATTGAGAAGGAATGTTTAGTCTATTTATGAAATATTTGACCTAATTAAAAACTCATTTCGCTCCCATTTTCAATTTGATGTGATGGTAAATAATAATTCATTTGTGATAATTGAATTCATAGATGGATACATTTTGGATAAAGGTAGCCGCTGAAATATAGATGATGAACTGTGATAAGGTGACATCAGCATCTGTATGTAAATAGGTCACTGACTGAATTAGAATTATTTATCGCCACCGTCCATAATAACAAATTTAGCGACATATGAAATTTGCCATGGGCCAGTTTTAACTTATAATGAAAGAGGATCGATTTGTAAACAAGTTTTTGTTTTACTTTTCAGTGTGGTTTTAGCATATTTTTTTAATGTTTTTGTCTTTCCTTGATCTTGTCATCCTTTCACACATTGTTTAATATAACAATAATTGTAATAAAAAATTTCAGACAACTTGCTTGGTGGACATCTGTTGCTGATTGGTTAAGGTTGTTGACCTCATCACAGCCATGGGTTTAAGTCCAGGCAAAGACTTTGGATTGTTTCATTTGAGAAAGCTATTAATCTTAGGCTTATGGAACATTGGTGGTTCTACTGGACCCAAGGTCTTCCTTCTCCAGTACCATATGACCTATACAGTATTGGTGCCATGTAAAAACCCAAACATGCTCTATTGATCATACAAATGGGATGATTGTAAGGGAAATTTGTTTTTTAAACATTATTACATGCATGTTTGATTCAAAGAAAAAAATCTGTCCAAAGTATAATGGTTATGTGTATTGGAAAAACTCCAAGGCCATCTAAATATGAAAATAAATGTTGATATTATAAGCTGATTCATAAGGTGTTCAGGCTTTTGTTAAAAAAGAAAAATGATCTGTCAATACTGAATGTTCTTTTTTTTAAATCATATGAATGATCCACCAGTTTCTTTAAGAGGCAAACTTCTTTAAAACCATCTCGGCAATGGGCGTGCACAGTGATGACTTTAACATTTTTACCTATTTATTAAAACCGTAGCTGTATTTAGCACCTATTTATTAAATACATACAAAGTTCTTACATGTACTGTACATACTGACATGCACAATGGATAGATTGTTCACTTGACATTCCAGACCTTATGTTTGCTGTCATATAATAAATTACTCAAAAGGGGAAACTTTTAAAATGAGAAGGTATTATGAATAACCATGTTATTAAATAGGCAAATTCTTTGAAGGTTGAATTACAGCATATATTGTGATGTATGGCTTCTTTAAAAATAGCTCACAACTGCAATAACATATTGAATTTCAAATTGGTAGTCTTCTTTTTTTTCATTATGAAACAAAATTTTAAGTTGTACATAATTATGTTGATGAACTGCGGTTGCATTGTTGTTTTCTGTTGCTAAGTTAGTTCCTAATATGCCATGGTTTGTTTAATACAAATTGGTTTGCGTTGTGCCTGACCAATTTAATTTTGTTAATACGTACTTAAGTATTTAAGTCCATTATTATCATGATAACTTTGTTGCAGTTGTCTCCCTTATTTTAAAGACAATAATATTTTTTTAGCTTCTACCATTTGATTTTTACGACACCTTATTTTACAATGTATGTACACTTTTAAATGTACACTTAAAAATGTATATTTTGTAACAAACCTTATTTTTAATAACATTATCACATTTAATCTCTTTTTATATTCTGATTACTAATTTATTATAATATTTTCATGTTGTACCACTTTTACTACAAAGTTGTATCGAATTACCATATTTGGCAATATTGTTTGTTTTATTGCCCTTGGAGCTTATAATATAGTGTTTAGCAAAGAATTACTAATTTTAATCCCAGGCAGTGCAGTGACTGTGTGTTATATAGTATATAAACAATAAATAATCTTGTTATAGTAATCCCAGAGCCCTAGATCGCAGTAACTTTAAATGGGCATTAAAACTTTATAAACTGGACTTCAGCACTGCATGCATCTTAAGCATTACAGCAATTCTGTAAGTTGTCTGAGTGTTACATCATTTTGATATTGAACCTTTGCAGTATTTTATTGGCAGTTGGGTTAATCTAGAAGACTTTAAAGTAACTATTGATATTTGCGCAGTAAACTTGTGGGTATTTTGAGTCTGATCCTATTGGCTCCAGTTTTTAGCTCGACTATTCGAAGAATATGAGAGCTATTGTAGCCGCCCCGGCGTCGGCGTCAGCGTCCGCGTCGGCGTCTGCGTTGGTTAAAGTTTTTTGTAAAGTCAAATATCTCAATTATTACTTGAGATATTCAATTGAAACTTACAATACTTATTTATAGTAACAAGGTACATCAGATGGACAAGTTGGATAACTCTGCCTACAATATTGACAGAATTATGCCCCTTTTTAACTTAGAAAATTTTGGTTAAAGTTTTTTTGTAAAGTCAAATATCTCAATTATTGCTTGAGATATTCAATTGAAACTTACAATACTTATTTATAGTAACAATGTACATCAGATTGACAAGTTGGATAACTCTGCCTACCATATTGACAGAATTATGCCCCTTTGGAACTTAGAAATTTTGGTTAAAGTTTTTTGTAAAGTCAAATATCTCAATTATTGCTTGAGATATTCAATTGAAACTTACAATACTTATTTATAGTAACAATGTACATCAGATTGACAAGTTGGATAACTCTGCCTACCATATTGACAGAATTATGCCCCTTTGGAACTTAGGTAAAGTCAAATTACAGCATATATTGTGATGTATGGCTTCTTTAAAAACAGCTTACAAACTGCAATAACATATTGAATTTCAAATTGGTAGTCTTCTTTTTTTTTTCATTATGAAACAAAATTTGAAGTTGTACGTAATTATGTTGATGAACTGCGGTTGCATTGTTGTTTTCTGTTGCTAAGTTAGTTCCTCTTATGCCATGGTTTGTTTAAAACAAATTGGTTTGCGTTGTGCCTGACCAATTTAATTTTGTTAATACATACTAATAAATATTACTAATAAACTGTAATATTTAAGTCCATTATTACCATGATAACTTTGTTGCAGTTGTCTCCCTTATTTTAAGTACAATTAGAAGACGATAAGCTTCTACCATTTGACTTTTACAACACCTTATTTTACAATGTATGTACACTTTTAAATGTACACTTAAAAATGTATATTTTGTAACAAACCTTATTTTTAATAACATTATCACATTTAATCTCTTGTATACTGATTACTAATTTATTATAATATTTACATGTTGTACAACTTTTACTACAAAGTTGTTTCGCATTACCTTATTTGGCAATATTGTTTGTTTTATTGCCCTTGGAGCTTATATAGTGTTTAGCAAAGAATTACTTATTTTAATCCCTGCAGTGACTGTGTGTTATATAGTATATAAACAATAAATAATCTTGTTATAGTAATCCCAGAGCCCGAGATCACTGTAACTGGGCATTAAAACTTTATAAACTGGACTTCAGCACTGCATGTAACTATTCCGTAAGTTGTTTGAGTGATATGGAACCTTTGCGGTATTTTATTGGTAGTTGAGTTAATCTAGAATACTTTAAAGTTGCTATATATTTGCTCAGTAAACTTGTGGGTATTTTGAGTCTGATCCTATTGGCTCCAGTTTTTTTGATAGTAAGACATCTGTCATAATAATGGCGACCTATTAGCTCAAGTTGAACAGAACTACTTTAAAAGTGCATTTTTAAAGATTGAAATGATTTAAACCAATGGTAACAACTCAACTTTCCCTGTCAACTCAGTCTGATAGACTTACTGAAGTCGCCAGAGGTGTTTTGATTGGATTTAAATCTAAATTTTTAAGTTGAAATTTTTGCTAATATTTATATATCATAACAGTTTTAGATAAATACCTGTTACAGACATGCTATAAATGTTGAAATTAGGTCATTTATTTTGGGTTGGACTTTGTCGAAAAAAAATCTCATCAACAGCTTTGATATTAGAGCTTTTAAATTGCTACGGTAATCTGTAAAATACATTCATGCAGGGTCACAATTGACCAAAATATTTGTAGGAAATTGAACACATCATTAAAACAGTTTAAAAATTACTGATGTATTTAATTTAACCGACTATATGTCTATACAACCAATGAGATAGGTGTTGAATCCAATTTCATTAGCTGCGATGAAGCTGCCCCTCATTGTCCGGTCTCCCCAAGGCGGGATATAAAATCACCTTTTATCTGGTGAGGGATGCTTTGTTCGGCAATTTTTTCAGATCTTTTAAGGCCAACAGTGGTCCAGGACACCTGCTATGTTGAAGTTAATTTACAGGAAAATTGTTATCGTATATCAATTTATATGATTTGATTGAATCAATATACCCTAGAATCCTCAGCTGCTGCAGGTATCCTAACTTCGGACATTGGTCAAGAATGTTTTTGATGTTAAATTTACTGATAAAAGACCATTTATCATTTTTCTTTTGTAGTTGTGAATCTACATATATTATATATCAATCAGGGTGAAAAATAACACCTTGGCTGACCTCCTTTTTGGTAGTCAGACTGATTTTGATATGGGATGAAAAAGTTATTTCTTTCAATGTTTCAGGAACACTTAACAAAACATTTTTAGTCTGCTCTTCATCAGAATCTAACACTTGTGGAGTTTAAGATTAAATAATTTGCGTGTTTTAAAATAAAATTTAGGTTCTTTAATGACTTTAATGATATTAAGTGACAATTAAAGACCAATTAAGGATGTTATAAGTACAGTAGTGTTGTGTTCTATCTGTCTGGGCTATAGTTTCATCAGTTAGTTGTTCATTGCAGTCTCTGGGGACTGAGTTACCTGAGAGATCAATAGGAAAGGTATGTGTGGAATGTCACAATCAATATCTCAGTTTCCACAATGACAAATATATCAGGCAGCAGATTGCATAGCTTGCTTTGTTTCCAGATCTGTAATGACATGTTTCAATTTGAAATTAAGGCTCATGCATGTAAATTTGTGGTTTTAGTATTATTATATTTTATGGAGAACTTGTATTAAATAACAAAATATTTTTATTGATCAAACTTTGGATTTAGTGAGGCAAGTGTTGTTTTCTAAAAACATGTGTGGTTAAAAGAAATATGTTAATGATTTTGAAAAAAATGTGTGTTACATACATGCAGGTGTTGTCATATTTCTGAATCAAGGTAAAGATTTTTTATTTCAAGCCGTTATTTCAAATAAAAAATCGAATAAAAGATTACATTTTGTATTTGCTTGTCATAAAGGGAAAAACTATTTGTAATTAATTGTTGTGGTACTCTAGCTTGGAAACAAAAATCCTGATGCACTTTCTGACTGTTAACTTCCATGTCAGATCCTGTGACATTGTTGTTTTCCACTTGGAACAACTTTGTGCCATATGGCAGCAGTCAATGTCAACGGAGACTAACTATCATAGTTGATCGAGTCTTGGCATCGGATACGTGTTTTAGTTGACATTTTGTACAAAGAGCAAATATGAGCGATTCAGATCGTGACTTTTCTTATGGGTCAAGACTGAAACCCCCGTACAAATTTGATCAGTTAGTAATCAATCGGTGTTATTTGTTGAAGTCAATTGGAGACATGGCTGTAATTTATAATGAAATATCTTCGAGATGTGACTAAAACGGCGTTTAAAGATTGTCTTCATGAAAACCTAATTTGGCATGAATCGGCGAAAAGTTGAATTTATTCGCTATTTTTCAAAATGTCAGTCAAAAATGTGAAGTATGTGATGTTATAAATGGGACAAGGTACATGATATGTTTGTTTTGGATGTTTCAATGGCCGTTAATAGTTGAAGGTGTAAAACTGTAGATTTAAAACCTAAAGTTATCAGGTGTCATTTTATTCAAATGCAAGAAACCAATACAAAGTGTAATGTAACAGGTTGTTGTAAAAATCCAGAGATTTAATTCTGAGAGTAAAATTTTGGATTTGAAAAAAAACTGTGGCTTTATTTCTTCGGATTTTCCTTTAAAAAATGTGATTGTTTAGGTAAGAAAAATTGATACATTAGATAACACAGGAAAAAAGAGTCAGGGTTTTGTGTTTGTTCTTTTATTGAAATAATGTTCTGGTAAAAAATTATCTTAAAGTTGCGTTTTAAGTTATATACTTTGTTGATGCCTGCAAAAAGTAACATGGCTTGAGGTTTAATGTGATGATTTTGTTACAATATGCAAATTTTGAATTACGTCAGTTGCTAAGTTGAAGAAACTATATATTGTTTACTAACATTGTTGACTTTTTTACTAGATAAGACATCAGTAATTATTTTTTCTTTGGGCAATGTTATTGACCTAACAACAGAAAACATTGTACAATGTCTGTTACACACAATGAAATAGATATACCAGCTATAGAAATACCTGCCATTGATAGTATTGCAGGTATTTCACATGGAATATTAGGTAATCATTGTTTATACCTGTAAGATTATGGGATTTTACTTTTTAATGGGCGGTTACTTTCAAAAAATGGGAAACCATGCATGAAGTGTGAATGTTCAATATATATAATTCAGTACTATTTGTAATATCTGGTCAAATTTGTTTTTCATGTGGAAGATAACGTTATGTTTTTATTTTTTTATGTATATTTGTGTAGAAGTTAAAGATTAAATAAATGATTTGTTTAAAGAGAAACTTTGGACCAGTGACTGGTTTTGTCAATGTTTATAAAAGGTAAATAAAATTCTTGCATTAATTTTGTTTGTTTTAGATTTGTAGGCATTATTCATGGCAAAATTTGGTTACCTTTACATCTTCTATTTCATAAAATTCTTTTGTAACAGCATATATGTCATTTACAAAGTTAACTTAAGCGATGTTTGTTCACTAATCAAGTAACTTCTCTAGTGTCAAGTATGGGATGTGTTGTGATTAATTTAATCAATTATCTTTTTATTTAGTAAATAATTGAAGATCAAACGTTATTTTATTGCAGATTTAGTATAAAATTGACCGTTCTCGCTTCAAGTTGACCATTTATGGTCAGAACAATAAATGAAGAACGTCATAAATTTGCCATAATCTCTATTTTAAGGCATTCAAACACATTCTTCACTAAGCGTTTTATTTTTACGACAGATACAAAGAAAAGTTTTTAGTTCGGATTTTCTGCTGTTGATGGTACATACTTAATCTTAAACAGTTATTATTTGTGTAAGATTTAAAGTGGTCATTTCTTACGTTAAAGATATTAGCTGCCACATCATTGTTTTTTGTTGGTTTTTCGGTTATTCCATTTTATGCCAAAGTGATTTAAGTCATGTAAATGAAATATTAGAAAAACTTATGTTTTGCTCTGAGATAGCAAATTGCCTTTGGGATATGTTTTTGATGTGAAGGTCATGTTTTGACCATGTTATATATTTTATCTATAGTTAGATATGACAAGAGGAATGTGGAGTTTTTATGTTACAATGATAAAAGGTGTAATATTACATAATTACGTTACTATGTGCATTGACAGCATTATAATAATACAGAATGGATGCAATATGGTTTCGTTTTAAAATAAGGCAGATGTAAAGTCAGATGTGGATTTTTAAGTGGACAAAATGGGTGACAGATGAAATATAACAAGTGTTATACTGGAGATTTGTCAGTTTGGACCGGACTGTAAATGTCATAATAAAGTTTTATCAATGTGGACTTTAATTGCCAGTGTTTTTACAATTGTTAACCTTTTTCCGAAAAATAACAAAAAAAACAACAACAGATAATCAAGAGTAAATTGTTTAATATTTGCAAAAAATGCCAAAAAATAACATAAAATTGCATAGGAGTAATAAAGTAAATTGAATGAAATAAAAAAAAGTGTTAACATTTATGGACATTTTTTGCCATTTTTAAGTGATAATAAAAGATAAAAAATATAAAGTGTGGCTTGAAAACAGAAAAATGTGTACACAATGAGTGAAGTTCAACAACTCTCTGATACTGAAGTTGATATAGAAAACAACATGGGAAATTTAAAAGAACCTCTTGAAATATTGATGTAAGTGCCATAAATAGAAACAGGTGCTCTGCTAATTACGTTAGCGAAATTGAGAAAGATTTATATTACCTTTATATTTTAAAAGCCGGAAGTTATGGTACTAAATTAGTTACATCAGGAAAATTATAAGATCATGTTTATTTGAGTAAGCTATGAGGTGGAAATTTTGGGATTTCAGATATCATAGATTGTATTCTATTATAAGGGATTTCTAATTGCGTTTCTATATTATGTATATATAGGGACTTTTAATTATATGATATTTTTTTCTTTTATGATTTTACATAAAATAAAAAGAGTTTCTATGTGAGATCATGGTTAAATTTAATGATAGATGGTTTTCCTCTTGTCAACCATGTTCATTAATTGTACCTGAAATAAAGTTTCACTTTAATGTTTTAGTCATGCTATTTATCAGTGGTAATTTCAGTCATGCTTTGCATACAGTCTACCTTTTTATTGAGAAAAAAAATATAAAGATATATGTGTGGTTTTGTGACTTGTCATTTCTTCTTTTCAATACAATGTTTAATCTAACAGTAGTCCAAATATTTAGAGGTAAACCGCGGATTTGCATGAAGCTATTTTTTACATTGGTCAAATAAACATAAAACTGTAAAAAAAAAGAAAATGCAAAGACTTTAAATTTACTGAAGGACTAACCTAACAAGGTACAAGGCTTTATATATTGAAATATTTTTATAACATTTTTTGAAAATGGTAAAATTATGTTGTTTCCATAATCATATGGTTGATTCTCAAATGAGTTTAGAAATAGAATGTTTGCGTTATTTACCACAAGTAACACAGAATAAAATGTTGCAGAAATAAAACTTTATTCTGCTATTTAAAATACAATGTACATGTAGGTTTTTAACTGTTGAACAATGATTTTGTGCATTTGCCATTTTCTCAAAAGCTAATATTATACCAACATATTTCTTTCACCCAGGCATTTTGGAATTGTTCTTTTTCATTTAAATTCAAAAAAAAAAATTGTTAACTGACATGCAGCAAAGATATAACTTTAGATATTATAAGATAGAAAGCTATTTAATTGTTACTTGTGTATTTACAGACTTGCAGAGGTCTTTGCTGAACTATTTTACAACTTAAATGTGAAATTATTAACATTGCAAATCTTATATTGACAAACTGCATCTGAAATCATTTAACAATATCTTATTATTACTTTGCATGAGCTGGAGGTTTTACAATCAAATTTATTACATACTATTACTAGCAAATGTTTTGTCAATCTTTTCCATGTGTTGGCTGTTTAGAAATCATAGAGAAGTGGCTGGAGTATTTTCTGATGTTTCTACTTGACTTGAAGGTGACTTTGTTCACACAGTTCAAGGATTTACAATGATTTGAGTTGTTGGGTAACATTGGAATGTTTTTGAAAGCTATAGTAGACCCAAGTTTGATCATGTTCAGGTTGTCTATGCAATAGTGTTGTATTTGGCTTCGTTAGGTATTTGAGGCTTCGTTATGTATCCGGCTTCATTATGTGTATTTGAGGCTTCGTTATGAATCATTAAGCTGATGACACTGATGTCAATCATGCCTCTGATTGACACTGATCAAAATTATTATCCCTACACAATATCATAACAAACATCATAAATCTGTACCATGAATATAAGATAGTATTTCTGTGTATCATTGAAGTGAAATAGCTACGGGCAAGGGAAGAAAATGTTTCACAGTTCAGGTGTGGTCAGCTGTCCCCACAGGGGAAATTAGAGGTCACAGGTTGTCCTCGCTGATCCTATCATGAGATGACCTCATTAACATTATTAGTTTTTGGTGATATCAAAATTGATTTTTTTATTGATAAAAAGCTGAAAGTTATTATGTTAAATGGTAAAGGAATGTTACAATTATTGTATATAGTTTTGACAAAGTGTGGGGTAAAAATTGATTGTAAAAAGTTTAAAAATGAAAAGGAAGAAAAAATGGTGAAAACTATTTTATTTGCATTTAAGAAAAGGGACAATATTGATTTTGATAGTTTTTTCAAAGAATTGTCAGTTTTCTTCATAGATATTCTTACCTGAAATGGAAAACTTTGATAAATATTTATGGTTAAGATATGTTTACACCAGTTTTGTAAATAATGATTTTATCACCACTGGTAGCCGTTTTTCATACTTCATTCTCTGATATACATTCCATTCACACCTCGTTAATTTTTGCCTGGTTTTCAATTTTAACTTACATTTGATCTCAATACTTTACAAATAGGTGAAACAATATACCTGTGAAAATCATAGAAACCTAGGTGTCAAATGGTATAACACCTCCATTATGTAGTGCAATTTCATTCAATTTGGAAAAAAATTTATCACTGTATTTTTGTTTTCGATATCTTAACAACCACCTATTTCAACTTTTATCTTTATATTTTTTTCATATGTTTTGTATTGTATTGAATTGACTATCTTACCCAGGGGGGGAAGGTCCCTTTGTGTTTAGTATGCCTATTGGCTTACAGTTCGTAATTTTGAGTCAGATCTGTCACAAAGCTTATGAATTTTAATATGCTTCGCTCGGGTAGCCCCTGTATCATTTGCACTATATGATACCCACAGTGATCCTCGTTTGATTAGTGATGTCACATGATGTCACCATGTGACAATTAAAATGTATATAATTGATGAACAAATTAACAATTTATTATGTTACATTATGACTCATCCGTTGATAATCTCTGATACCTTATAAAATGCCAATAAGAATAAAATTCCTAAGTTGTAAATCTATAATCATTAATTTTATAACAGCAAGGTATTTACTCTTATTAACTGAACATTTGACGGTCAAATGCCATTTTAGAGTTGACATTATTTTTCTTTAACTTTGTTATCGTGCCAAGTTGGAATATACAGCTGAGTTCTATATTATATTTATTTACTTAAGGTAAGTGAATGTTAAACTGAGGTCAGAATGGGTCACCTGTATCCTAAAATGTTCGATTGAACTCTTCAATAGTTAAACGTATGATATATAGAAACACATACCCTAGCGCGTGTTGTAACTGATATGTAAATTGACCAGAGTTTAAACAATAGTGATGATTCAGAGTTAACTGTGTGCATCAATCGTGGTCAGTAATTTTTCCGCTATTATTCACTCGTCATTAATTTGATATACAGGGACATAATAGGCTTAAATTAGGTCACATGGCGGGATTAATTTTTGTAGAACAAGCGTTAAAATTCCTTATACGCTTACAATGATAAGATTATACCTAGATTAAATGATAATGATATAAAAATGTAAAATTAAGTCCCTATTGAAAAATATCGCAATGTGGGCACAAAGTCTGTCAGTTATTTTGTGAATGTGAAACTGTGATTCATTTATATTTCATTTATTGGGACACTTGTTTTAGATAGAAAGGATTGTATTTCTGGACTAGTTATAAAGTGGTGTTTTCAGTTTGGTTTTATATGGAAGTAAAAAAATTTAACTGTGATAAATAATTTATCATATGAATCAAGATAGTATATAACAAAAAAAAAAAAAAAATTTGTGTGTGCAAAGTAAGTGGTACTCTAACGTACATTTTATAATAGTTTGTTGATGAATAAACCTGAAAGGATATATAGTACTGTAATAGTCATTGTTGGAATGCAACGATAAAAGTGTAAATAACATAAGGTACAAATTACTATCCACATCAAAAAAGGGAAAAGGTTACATAAATTTTTTAAATTATATTTTTTTACTTAGAACATAAAACATTGCACTGCAATTTCTAACATAGGAAGTGGTGTTTTTTAGGATTACCTGTATGACTGTTTTTTACGATAAATCATTTTGACTTACAGTCATTTATTGGTGACAGAGTTTTGTCAGATGACTTTGTAAAAGGCATACATTTTTAATTTATGGATTTCGTGCTAGCAGTTTTAAATAGTAAAGGTACTGATAAATAGATAAAAGATTGTTACGGATATACTAAGATGGTTGTGTTGGGGGGAATATAGGTTTGTATATCGACACTCTGACGCAAACTAGGTACATCGTACCAATTTGTCACGAGAAATATTTCAACTGATGAGATAGGTTTCTTCTTTAAGATGTTGAATCTTTTATAAGTAAAAAACTTTACAGATCTTGTTTCATGTGATCTTTTTCATCATTTTGAGGTTTATAATGAACTGTTTTGTTTGAAGTGGTTTGTTGACAATTTTAAAACAAAAGTGAATTATGCAGAGTATTTCATTGGTGATACATTGAAGTTTGTTGTTGTTTTTTCTTTGTTTGTGTAAAATTTTCAAGTGGATTGTATAGGGTATATATGTAAATATTAATTTTGATATATGATATTGATTTGTTTAATTTTGATATGATAATTGAAAGATTTTAGATAATGTAAGATGCAGTATAAAATATATTTACTTTAAGTTTATTATAGGATCTTTAAAACATTGAGTATCACATTTTGCACGATCAAGAGCAGTAAGCAAAAAAACAATTTTACTTGATAGTCTTACATAATTATTATGTACTAAATTTTCTTTTTTTATGAAAATCTTTAATAAAAAGTTTGTTTATTTTCAGTCCACAACAAGGAAATAATGACAGTATGGTGACATCGCCGATTTATCACAATTTATCTACCGGGGATTATCCCAGGCGACCCCCGCCTCCGGTCCCCGGCGTCAATGAAGAAGCTCCCCCTGCGTTACCTCCAAGGTCATACCAGAAATTTACAAGCAGTAAATCTGAATCATTTTTGTTATCTGGTGTGTCTCAAAATCAAAGAGATGAATTGAAAGAATCATATAATCGTGACACTGCAAGTGCTGGTTCTAGTCGCTGGGACAGTAGTGGTACCGGAACACTGAAAGAGGATGCATACGCGCAACAGCTCCGTAGACAAGCTAGACGCTACTCAGAACAATCTAAGCCTATATCAATGCAAGTTGTTTCCACCAAGTCAACTGTTCAAGTATCATTATCACAGTCTTATAAACAAGAACCTACGACGGCTCTAGAAGCTGTTCCGGTACAAAAACTTACTCCAGCGTCTTCACCAATACAAACTGATGCTAAAGCAAGTGTTTATAATCATTCTCCCCCGTCTTCTAGGGACAGGCTTACACCAGAACCCCCGCCCCTCCCCACACCTTTGAAAAACGGGGAGACTGAAATATCCGTGGACTTAAATACAACTGCAGATTTCCCTCCCCCTCCGGTTGAGTTTATGTCTGGTACAGAATTGGAGCAAAATAAGGACAGGTAAGAGTCGTAAATAAGAAAATTACTTTATATATCACAAATTCGTATCATGGCATGTTTTAATTAGATATTTCACTTTCTTTTTGAAAAATCATCTTGTAAATTTGCTGCCTAAGTAAATACATCATAAATCATATTGTTAACAAAGATTCTTATGTAAAAATGTTTATCAATTCTGTAATGAGGACAAGTTAAAAGTACAGGTGGTACTTGTAAAGGGTTAAAAGAATAACTACTAGAGATTCCCATCAATATAATACTTGTCAAACAGTGTTATTTCACATGAAAAAAAAAATTCAGTAACAATCAGTCCTTTGTTAAAGGGACTTAATAATAGATAAATGGGACTTTTCCGGTTTGAATAGTGTGAGGAGTTAAAAGTGTTTATCCCATGTTCCTTCAATACTGATCAGCTTAGGACATTTAAAATATATACACATAAATACTGTGGAGATTGTATTTTGGTAGATATTGGCAGATGTTTAAGAACTTAATATGGTTTTAATGATTGTCTGAATTTATTTCCTGTTGTTGTGTATAAAAGAATATTGTTCCCGGCAATAAATGCATTTTATCAATCAAATCTTTCTTTGTCACTTGTATGAATCAAGCACATCTTGATAAGATTCTTGATATGTAAGTGGACAAAGAGCAGGAAATGAATTTGACCAACAAAGTATTAAAATAAAGTAAAAGAAAAAGAAAATTGCAATAAGTAGTTAATAAAATAATTGTGGTTGTATGTCTTCCGGCTGATAAAAAGTAGGATAGGAATATAGCAGCAGGATCTTAATAGGCCGTTCTTTATTGCTTCCTAAGTGTCTCAATATCACTTATAGTAATTGATGATTATATTAACTTATTGATATTAAATATGTCAAGACTCAGTTACTTATTATATAGATATTATTATATGTTTCAATATAAATACTGAAACAAATCAAACAAAGAAAAGAGGTGGCATGGCTCTAAGTGGTTAACAAGTTGGACTAGTAATCTATAGATTGCATGCCACATGTTAGGGGCAAGACGTCCTTTTTTTTTAGCAACAAACTTGACACAAATTTCTTCGTTTGTTCTAGGAACAGATTCAGGCGTTTTTCTATAAGCTTAAAGCTTCCAACATAAACTAAACAAATTCTGTATAAAGTATGAAATAAGGCTGTTAAGAAGTAATTATATATATTGGGGTAGTATAACATGTAGTGCATTACAATTTTAAATATTGGCCAATTAGTGATTTAATTAAACAACATAAAGATTTATTTACCAAGGTTGACAAACATTATGAAGTCATTTACAAAACATAGTATAGTTTAACTTAATATAATTAATACACATTCATGTAATATAGGTTTGTCTTATAATGGGAACATTAGAGATTTGACACATGAGTGTTTTATTAGTCATTACTAAAGTATTGAAAAGTTGGGAAAAGCAAATATCGTCGTGACATTATAATGGGCAAAAATTGACCACAAAGTGGCACTATATGCTCCAAATAATTGTTGTGGTTAACCTAAAATGGCCATCTTAGTAATTGAAAGCTGTGACATGAAAGTGATGATCAAATAGATATACAATGTATTAAATTTAAATAAGTTTCTTTAATATTTACTTAAGACTAGAGTAAATGCTGAAAAAATATTTGTCAAAGGGGAGTAATCAAGTCTGTTATATTTACTATCAGTGTGTCTTTTCAAGATTTACCTCCCTTAGTAAAGAAGCTAATATGTACGAATGTAAGAGTGAAAGATAATATGTTTAATGTAAATATAGTTGATTATATAGATCTGTATCACACAAAGAAAAGAGGTTGCCAGGGGGTGGTTCAACCTTTAGGAGTCAGAAAATGGTTGGCCTAATCAAAATCAAACACAAAGACTGGGTAAAATCTAAATGAAAATCATATTAAAGAAAATTTGAGGAATGTTGAAGTCAGATATAATTGTTACATTTTTCAATTGATATGGGTAATGAATACACTAAGAAAAATAATAATTTAAATACAATGTAGTTAATAAAAAAAACACCTTTATTTCATAAGAAACTATGGAAGTTATATTTCAAAGATTCCTTTCCATTTTTCTGAAAGAAATGAAATTATATACCCCTGAATTCTCCATTCTCTTTCTAGTAAGGTGTTCTTAGATGGTGAAACCCCCTATCTTGCTACATTTGCAATGCCTGACCGGTAAACATAAACAACAAGAAAGTTGCTTCTCCCCTTTATCAGCCACAGGAGATCTGTAAGAACTGTCAAATTGTGAGATTCACTTCTTATAATGTCTACCAATCTGACTATAGATCACACACTATCTTACATTAAGTCAAAGAGAAAATAACCCAGAATATAAACTTCCATTCATATCTGACTTCATTAAAACATATTTCACTCCAAAGTCAACAATATGTCTTATTTTTATTTTGTTTTTCTTGTCTTTTTTTCCCCTTAAAATATGATATGACTAGAGAGTTTAGAAAGCTAAAATTTAATGTCTTTCTGATTGTAATGTTAGAATGATTGATCTTCTGGCAAATACTTCTGGCAGGTTCTGTAGACAATAAAAGATTGTTTATGCTCACCATTGATATCAAACTATCACCTGGGACTTTTATCTTGCAAAAATGAATTGTTTGTCTGTTAGAAAGGTATTTGAATGCTGTTATAATTAATTTCATGGAAGATAGGCTGCTACTTTTTGTGTTAAATGCAAATAAATCATATTTATTTAGAAACAACAGCCTAAACAATAGGAAAAAAGATGCAAAATATGAAATCATTTGTAAGCTAGCTTAAAGCAGAGGTGATGATTAATAGTTTATTCTATTAATAGTACAGAACACAACCAGCCGCCAGTTCTGTGCAGTTTTTACTGGCAGTTTGGTGCAGTTTGACCATCAGTTCCATGCAGTTTGATAGGCAGTTCGGTGCAGTTTGATGTCCGGCACCTATTCTTTTGGCTGCTAAATTTTAGCATCTTTTTCATTAGCTCATAACACAGCTTTTGCTGATAACAAGGAATGTCTAAAAAACAATTATTACAAATTACCTTATACTTTACAATGCATTACAGTTTCATAGCATATTGTACTCTTTGTTTGTGCGTATGATTAATTTCTCATAAAGAAAAAAAGAAACAAACTAAAATCAACATTATTCCAACACTTTAATCTGTTAAGGTGATGTCAATATGGGAAATCTGTTTTATGATTTATTCAATGTGAACTATAATTGTTAGGGCAGGTAATAAAACTCATGCTAGCCTCCAACTTAAACACTAATGCAGATTGCAGCATGGCGATTAGGGTGGTTTTATCTTTATTTATGCATTTATAAAGATGAAAGGAGAGTTTTTCCAGTGATGAGTATTGCAAGATTAACATTGAAAGACATGTTTATGCATTTTCTCTTTTATCTAAATCTACCTTGCAGTATTTAATATAAGGCCTTTAAAAACATTGGCTTCATCTGTGAAAATATTTATTGTATATCGTACTTCTCAGACAAGAAACTAAACATCTGCAAAATATTGAAGGTCATGCCTTGAAGTTCATGCCATAAAGAACTTAAATAGCTAAAATTAATAGCAAATTGATTCATGGTAATTGACTTTCAATGATCCAAAAAATTATCTGATAATGTTAATGTCCACTTATAAATACTTGGTTTATGTCAAGTTTGTTACAACCACCCTTCTTGTTTTGAGTACCGTGTAAAAGATTTCATATTTTTAAAGTTTATAAATAATAATAATAAAATGTTGAAACATTAGTTAAAACTTTATTTTTAATAAACAGACTGTATAACTCAATAGCTTCCTTATAAATACATCTAATTTGAAACCATCTGGTTAACTGAATATTAAGAGCGTTGGACACGTTGAAGCGGGTGACTCGGGTTCGATTCTGGGGCGGTGCAGGTCACTTTCATTGCGTTTGATCATGAAATTCTTTCTACGGTCATTTGCACTGTACCTCTGCTCTGGCTTGTAAAGAAGTTATCAGTTCCTTGCGAAAGGGAAAGGCAGCTCTTACTGGTAAATTGTATGACAGCCTGCCTAGGAACGATGATGTGTCTGAACCATGCTCATGTGGCTTATTTGCCCTGGTACAGTGGGTAAACTACCAAAACCACCATATCATTGCATTTGCAGCAAAGGTTTATGGTCAGATCTTGGGCTATCTTATCTTTACTGGGACCAAGTTTCAGAAAATACAAATTTATCATTATGAAAAATGTATTTATTTTGGGCCTAGGTTGTAAATGTGCCTGTTATCATTTGTAACAGCTGAAGTAAATATTATCATTTCCTTATCATACAATAAATTAAAACAGTACAAGACAAAGAAGAAAGGGCACCTGTTAGGTAATTGCATCATTTGCCAATACCCTGTCATCTTGTTTTTTGTAGCCTAACAATTTGTGACATAATGTTGATTACCACAGAAAATAAGCTCCTGAAACAATAAAAGTATGTCACTACTAATTTTCTCTGGCTTTTCTGATGCCCAGAGTTTTTTATGTTGCATTTCTGTACTAGCTAGGATGCTCAGTTTAAGGAATAAAAAAGCCATATGAATTCCAATAACAACTTTTCTTCAAGATTTCAAGTTCCATATTTTTTATCAGGTTTCCCTCCTGTATGTTGATGCATAAATTTTATGATAATGCATTGTTGTCCAGCTAGACAATAAGGCCAATAACAAGTTAAAAAAATGTGACTAATTCAGTCTTCAACAACAACAATAGTTACATTATTTATAAGAAATTCAAAATAAGAAAATACGAGAAGTTTCGATACAGTAACATTTGTTTCAAATGCTATGTTGAATTTCAAGCACTAAACATAACAATTTCATTACTGATTCCATTTCTCTGTCTGTAAATGTACCTACATAAAGTAATTTGTAAGATTGCCTGGAAAATGAGCAATTAACTGAACATAAATGTTGAACATAAACGTAAAATTGAAGATATATTACACATGGCTACAAAA